AGGCTTTAGTTCGTGATCCCGGCCGGCGCCTTCGTCGCTGATTGGCCGTACTGGCGACGCGAATTGCCGGCGGCGCGTAGCACGACCGGCGCGGCACGACGCGCAGTGGTGTCGACTGTTGATTCCGTGTTCGGTGGCAGTCGGCAAGTCGGTAGTGGTCGGTAGCTCGCTCGACAGGACGTGCAACGCGACGTGCCTGTGTATGCGTGCGTGTGCAATGCGACGCGGCGGCGGCGGCGGCGGCGTCGGCGGCGGCGGCGGTGGTGCGTCGGAGAGAGCGGTCGTATAAATAAACGGCGACAGCCCGCGAGCGGACAGCACTCGCGAAGGCGGTCTCGTCACGGTCTCGCTCGCACGGAGAGTCGTCGGAGTGACACACGGTGTCGGCTGTGTTTTCGCGGCCTCGCTCCCTCTTCCCCTCTCTCGCACCCCCGTCGGTGTCCTTCAACCGAGGATGTCGTCGCCAACGCAAGTGGTAAGAGGGGACCGAGGATCCCGATGGACGATTCACGCCGTAAACGCGACATCGGTTCTTACTCCGAGTATTCTTTTATCGGTAAAGGTGCCACTAAAATTCATTTTGAAAGACTCTTTATTGGCCGAAAAGATCCTTTGCGGGCACTTTTATCGATAAAAGGAGGCTTCGGCACACGAGCCATTGTCTCTTACCCTCTTTTCGCGCGCTCGCTGCTTTCGTTTCGTTTTGTGTTTTTTTTTGGGCTCCTTATTAAACCGGTCAGTCCGGATTGCCGCACCGCTGTTCGATTTAAATCGAGAGAACCGGCTGGCTGCTGCTCCTTCGCTCCGTTTTGTTTTTGTTTTTCCCATTCGTATGAATCACGTTATTCGCTCTCTGCCCCTTTGTTCGAGCGGCGCATTCGCGTAAAAATAGAACTTATTGAATTAATCGAGATCGCGGGCAGCTCGCGCGCGGTGGTTGAAACTGAAACTGAAAAACTCTGCTTCCTTTTCCTCGAACGCAACTCGAGTGCGGGTGGAACGATCCTGAGAGGCTCCGAGGCCCGAGAATTCGATTCACAAGCGCCTGTACACTAGGAATCGCTGATGCCTACGCGTATGAAATTTTTAGGCACAGGTAGAACACGTATACATTCGCCGCGTGCGTGTACGAAAAGTGTACAAACGTGTTGACGTGTGCAGAAAATTGTGGGAAGGCATCCGGTGATTCCTAGTGTACAGTGATAGACCGAATGGCTGCGACATTGTTTTTTTTTTCGAGTTTAGGAACTCTAGAAATAGATCGGAAACGCTGAAAATGATGGTTCCGGAATGGCCATCGAGTAAAATATCCCTCGGAGAAGACTGAAGTGCGTCCTGATCTAGGCGCATGTTCCTAAACTCATTAAAAAGAAAGTGTTGCCACCGTTCTGTCCGTCACTGTACATGCACGAAATTGCCGGGGCGATTTTTACGCCGGGTAAGCTCGCGTCTCGCAGAGAAAATTCTTCGCCGAAGACCCGCATATTTTGCCGCGAATGTACTCGCGCTGCGTTGTTCACGCGCGGTTGGTCAATTATGTTGATTATGTTAATTTTAAAAAAATTACGCTCCTTCTGGGCAATAAAGACGACACAAATCGGCGTGAGTTCTGCGTCAATTTGTTAAAGAAAAAATAAATATCTGCATTTATCCGCAATGTAAATGTGGAATATTATTATATTCTACGTATGTTTATATTATTTAATATGAACATACAATTTGAACGTACAATTTGAATACGACGCACTAAATTATCATGCGAATGCACTCGTATCTTTCTTTGAGATTTTATATGCACTTTGTAAGCTAAACTCTTCCACTAAACTCCCCTCCTTTCCAGCGTTTCAAACGATTGCACATTCAAATTGTTAATCATTAGGGCATTAATGAATCACGAGGAAACAAGAACGGGAATTGCCGGGCAAACGGCGAGAAGCATAGAATTTCCGCGTTACGCGTATCCTGTTTGAAATTCCTTAAAGATTAAGCCAACGCGGTGATTGCAATAGAGTGCCATTAGAGAAACTACCGTATTGGCATAAAGTGACTACTCTATATCCGAGACCATTGTGCGTCCTGACGGTACCAGTATTAGATAATGTACTATCATGCAACTAGCTGGATTAGGTCGATGATTAGGCTTCACTGACTCTGGATAAATCTCGTTCATGCGCTTTTATTGCTCAGATTTCACGGACGACGAGCGGCTCGCTGGGAAATATTTTGCTCCAACTTCAACGTATATTATTTTGTTCCCTGCGAAATTCGGCAGTGTATCAAAAACGACAATACGCGCGTAAATACGCGGGATTTTATATGAATTGAATTAAAGTACCTTGAGAAATTCGGAAATGTAAAAACAATAATTATAAAAAAACGTTCTGTTAAACGCGACCAATGTTAACACAATTTAACAACGCTTTCTGAATGTTGAATCGTAACGTTTACAAGACATTAGAATTCAGCGGACATTAGACGTTTTCGCAATATCTTTTCAACGTTGAATCTACATTTCGTAACGTCGATGCAACATTGCAATGTTGTAATGGAACGTTTCCGAGGTGTTGATTCAACATTTGTAAAAATGTTTATTTTTACTTCTTTAATTTTTGTGCTGTGTTACATATACGAGGGATTTTGTAATAATCGAATCGAGTGCCGTTGATAATAAAAGAAAAGTCACTTTATAGTTACGCTTATAGTTATCGTTTAAACAGATTCTACGGAAATAGAGTTAGTCTCAATCTGCCGGCGCGTCTAATTGTGAGATTTTTTAACTTAATCTGCTTCACACAAAAAAAACATGTTTACTCGATCTCGCGATTTCACAGATCACTCAATTGTGAAACATCAAACGATAAGTCGTAGATAATTAGAGGCACTTGTGACGTAATCCACAACGTTACACATAATTTTTATCATTTAGTATTATTAAACGGTGTTTTTCGAACTCTTACGTATATCGATACAAAGATAAGCTATCTTAAGATTAGCCGCTTGCTACCGAAAGCAAACACTAGTTTGGCTAATAACGTTGAAACTTTCTTGCGAATAAATGCGGGAAAAAACATGTATACGAAGCCGCGGAAAATGTTTCCATTATGCAACTATTAGCATGCATACCTTTGCATGCATGAATAATTAAAAGATAATATAGTTCGAAAAATAAAATAAGTGGTCTATTAGAATTATCGCGAATGCCTACTTTATCACCGCCTACGCATTAGCCATGAGTTTTTCGACACGTAAAAAGACGACATTTTCGTGTATTTCAGATAAAAAGCGTTGGGCCAAAGCTGGTGCCGTTCTTTAAGAGCGTGTCTGTATATTTTGTATTACTTGCCGAGCAGCCATCTCTGCTGACGGCGTGTTTCAAATGCTTACCGATAATAAGTCTCATCATTTTCGTTCTGTTACATGGGATTAGTTTGTCTAAAGAGTGAGTAAAATATTATCATAAATATATATGTGAATAATATGTCCGATATAATTATATTGTACGATAATCTTTCCCGCTGCAGCGTTACTGACGCAAACCTCGTTTTTTTTTTTGCAGATATACCTTCTCCAGACGCATATTAACGGGCTTAGTGTTTAGTTGCTTAGGTGACGCACTATTAGTGTGGCCTAATTGCTTCACCGCGGGAATGTGTATGTTTGCCGTTGCGCAAATTATGTATATATTTGCATTTGGATTCAAACCCCTCAATTTAACGCTCGGGGCGATACTGTATATGGCTTGTGCAGTTGGTAAGGTTCGCGGGCACGGATAATCGGATTGCAAATTTTTCCGGCCGATCACATATTCATGTTTATCGATCGATATCCGTGATTAATTGACAGCGTTGATTAACATTTCCAGTCATATATGCACTGATGCCTGGATTGGACGGGGTTTTAAAAATAGGAGTGCCAATTTATACAGTATTACTTATCACTATGGCATGGAGGGCCATATCGAGAGTACAATTCTTTGGGGTAAATTTATATATACATATATTTATAATACTATAAAAATTGTGGAAACAGTGCTGGCTCGTATCTGCCATTCATCCGTGTTCCATCCCCTTTAAATATGTGACATTTACTTCTTTAACGTTGTCGTTTATTTGAATGGAAAATCAATCACGTTTTATCTATCAGGAATTATGGACATGGACTAAATTGTGCAGTTGCATCGGAAGCATTTGCTTCGTCATATCTGATACCTTGCTCGGATTTCATTATTTTCACAGTCCATTACCTTATTCTCAGGTATGTATGCATATTATGTTATGCAGATTCTGAAAAATAGCCTTGATGGATGCGACAACTTTATAAAGGGTGTAATAATAATCGATTTTCACTTTATAGGTATCCATTATGTTGACATACTATGCGGCGCAATTAGGCATAGCACTGAGTGCGGTAGATTCGAAAAACAACAGTAATAACAGAGTACCTGCCAGTAAAGGCTGAAATATTTATTCCTAATCGTTACTCGAACAAACTTATCTGCAGATACAAAGGCGTATATGGAAGAGATCTTTTTACACGTCTGCTTTGAACTATGTGCATAATTCCAGTAGGAAATCGTTGTGATAATCGTCTTTGACATGTTGAATATTTCAAAGCCATATTATTGAATGAGACTCGTAGAGGGTTTCAGTGATAGGATGTTGTACCTTCAACTGTAGAAATAGACTTATATTTCTTTTTCTACTATTAATGCAATGCAAAGAAGTGTCCTATAGAGATTTCATACCAGCCACATCTGTGGTTTCCTATTTTTTGTATATGTATAAGACAAGTGGTTATTAAAAAAACTATTATACTATTATTAAGGATAGGCATAATGGAAGAGAACGTTAGTACTCTAAGAAAGATACTTTCGTAGCGGAAACTTCGTTGTTGTTTTCATCAAAGAAAGAAACTTGTGTTGTAGTGTTGGGACATATCGCTAGATCGAGACTTTTCCAATGTAAAAAGAAGGTACGTTACATTGTTAGCACTAGGGTACAATTACATTTGTCGCGCGACAAAGTTTTTTAAGCGTGTTAATTGACTGCGGAATAGAAAATTTCTAGAGACTCGAGAAGTTTTTTATTCTGCGGCCAATCAACACGCTCGAAAAATGCGTCGTACGACAAATGTAATACTAGCCTTGAGCGTTTCTTGTGCGTAAAAAGTTCAACAAATTATATAAAATTGATTATTTTTCATATACATTCGGGCCAAAATGCAATAGCTTACCTGCGATATATCGCATATGAGGAATATATTGTCTCTTGTAAGAAAAGTTACTGTTGTGTATATATATATATCATGTATGATCTATACTTGTTGTCAGTGTACCATCCTTCAATGTAAATTATCATCTTGCGGAGAACAAGTCGCAATATATAGGTGTAAATTGTACTATAGAAATATTTCTTACGTCAGTCTATGTTATGCGTTACTGTATAAATCATGTTATTAGACAATATGTTGTGTCTCTGTTATAACATGAATCGTTATTAACACTGCCATTTTCTTTGGCAAGATAAAAATGACTAGAACAGATTTAACTGGATGTCTAATTAGATTAAATTATGCAATATTTTAATAGCGAAAGTATAATATTTATAAACATAGATATAAAATTAGGAATTTTTATCAATTAAATTTTCAAATAGAACGTTTATTGGCTCAATTAAATGTCCTGCTCGTTTGCCTTGCGTTACATATGTATACTGGTTCGTTCTCTTGAGACGCAAATTACCTTACTCTAGTATAAAATTCACTTTATTCTACGAAATGTGCATTATTGAAAATTGAAAATATTCAGGTTCATTTATTGCATTTTTTTGCAACGGCGCATTTTACTTGAACCACTTATACTCTCTGGCTGTATTATAATATTTTTATTTTCTTTTCTCGTTCTGTTAAGTACAAACATATCAGTATAGCTTTTTTTTTATAAAAGTAACATAGCAAATATATGTAACAATTACGATATAGCTAAATTCAAAATACTTTCCAATGCATTTTCTTGGAATTGCCTGGCAGAACGCAAATATTACATGTAGCTTAATGTACTGTATATGTTGTAGACTATATAAAAAAATATACCATGTATCATCTGTGAAGGTAATACAAGACCTTTAGCGAGGGCACATGGCATGTCTACCTCCGTCCACAGGTAACGTCGCTCCTGTTATGAAACTAGCGTCGTCACTCGCCAGAAACGCAATGGTCTTTGCGACTTCCGTGACGTCGCCCGTTCTTCCGAGGGCATGCGTCTCTTTACTGTGCTCGAAGAAGCTCGCGAGCTGCTCTTTGCTCATTCCGCTGCTCTCGTGGAGATTTGTTACTGTAACACCGGGATTCACAGCATTCACGCGCACCTGGAGCAATTTTAAGAACATGAAGCGAGATAACAATCAGAAATAATATCGAGCCGCAATTTACGAAGAAGACTCGTTTGCGCGCACCTGTTTTGGTGCCAATTCCAGGGCGACGCAACGCGTAAACTGATCCACGGCCGCCTTGCTCATGCAGTATGCCAGGCAACCCGGGAAAGATCGTAATCCGGTTACGCTAGAGACGTTAACAATGTTGCCTTTCGTCTTGACTAAGTGTGGCACCGCCAGTGCTGTCAATTGGTACACCGAGCGAACGTTGATGTTGAAAACGCTAAAAACATACGTTTACATGATACCAACGTGGTGTAAACGATTCCTTCTATCGTGCATGCACGTTCATACAATCGGCGTGTCGTCCACACGTACTTGTCGTACTGTTCCAGGCTTGTGGTCTCTATACTACCGGATTCCAGAATTCCAGCATTGTTAACTAGAACGTCCAGTTTGCCGTAGTGCTTGATCGTCGCGTCGATGATATTCTTCACGTCGCTCTCGTTGGTCAGCTCCCCCGTCACGATAAACGGCTTCGACTGGCCGCACTGCTCGGCCACCTTGTTCAAATTCTGCTTATTGCGCCCGCTTAGCGACAGCGACGCGCCAAGCTGAGCCAGGTGGACAGCCGTAGCAGCACCAATTCCTGAACTGGCCCCCGTCACCAGAACAACTTTCCCCGCGAAGGACATCTGGCAAAATAAACGGTGTTCTTCAATACTGCAGCAGCAGATCAGTGTCGTTCAGAGGTGAACTGTGCTAAAACCTAAACTTGACAGGGGAGATTGTTCGAGAAAGTTTCCCTTCTTTCCCACCTTTTATTGAATTACGTCCTTCCAGTGCTCTTTCACTAAATTACGTTCTTCTGATGCTCCGTAGAAGAAAGTAAACAATAGTCGCAACTATTTCCAGACAGCCAAATCTGCCAGAGCAGATTTCGTCAAATGCCCACTACATATTTTGAAGGGAGAAAGACTGCAGATTGCACGCAGGAACTGATATATTCGACACGTTGCCAGCGTTTGTCAGCAGAAATACAACCAAATCTGCTCACATAACTGGACCTGCTCGGTTTCTGCCGACAGTCTGTTTTACAGACTTTGTTGCCAAAACGAAAGCCAAATGCGGACACAGATGGTTTTGGTGTGGGCTTCTGATGAATCTGCCAACATTTTGCTGACTGGGAATGAGCCGCGCCTTCGATAAAACGCAAATTCATATAAAACTGCGGACACTGTTCGCCACCAATAGAACTCGACAAGCAGGCTCTGTAGAAATCTCGTGTTTGAAGAAGTGCCTTAACGCTGTTCACCTCTGAGGTCAACTGCGTTGATACGAACAAACATCCGTTGCATGTGTCGCATGGTTTGAGGCAATAATAGCTGCGCTCGGCGTTGCAAACTCGAGGCGTCGGAGTGGCCCTTTTGTATTCGAGTGAAGAAGAGAATGAGATAGAAAGGAAGGAAGGGCGCTCCAACGCCTTGGATTTGTAAATTTGTGTCGAACGCAGCTCATATCGCAGCTCTTATGGGTGCGTTCGGGAGCTCACTATCACTGCTACTTAGCGTTAAAAACATTATTCTATCTTTGCTGCCCATTATGCGTCGAGAATAGCCAGAACGACGCTTTCAGCGCTAAGTAGCGCTGATAGTCAGCTCCCGGACGCACACTCTAAATATCCATCATTGTTAGAGCCGATAATGCTGGATTCGCGGCTGCAAATTTGTTTCCTCAGAAATACGCCTCATTTTGTTGCATTCGCCCCCTTTTGTGGGAGCGCCTTTCGATCGTCAAGTTATATCGGCGTGATATTTCTAGGAATTCCTTGAAATTCACGTGCTCCATCGTGATCAAACGCCGAATCCGAGGCGGCGCTTGACCATCTTCAAGCGCTCAACTTTTGAAATTTCCCTCAACGGGAAAATATGCGGGGCGAGGGCCGGGATCGAACCAAGGACCCTATCCATTCGTGTCAGCAGAGTTACACGTCATCCCGTTTGATCCCGTTAGGTCGGAAATACATTCCTCGTGAAATGGGTTAGGTTTTTCGTAGAGGAACGAAGAGGAGAAATATGTAGAGAAGAAGACTGAGATAATTGCGTCGAATTATGTTAAATAATGCCGCGTATATTTTAATAGTCATTTGAATACTCACTGTGATACTGCGACGATATCTGCGAAACTTGCGAGGTTGAACGATTATGTTATCTGCGCCGGTTCCGCCTCCGTCCCGTGGCGTAGCGGTAAACAGACAAAGTAGACATGGCACCAAACATGATATGATAAGTGGCTTAACATTCGCGTGCGTAGCTGCAAAAATGTCCCCCCCCTCTCTTTTACACTTCAAGAACGCCCACGGCCCAGCCTGCTTCTTGTCCACGCTCCTAACATCAGTTTGCACTGTGACTCTCAATTATGTCCATTTCTACCAATGCGGATTAAATTTGAATTTCGGCTCAATTAATTTTATCCTTTTCTATGTACCGAAAGTTAGGAAAAAAGCATGTTAAACCGAGATTAAAGTTAATCTACACTGGTAGAAATGGACATAAGTAATTCACTAAATTACATAAAATTAATCTACATTATCACCTCAAAATTTTAAACAAATTGAATTTCACATGAAATTTAAAACATACATAGAAAACGCAAGGAAAGTCGAATCTTTTTATATTATCGTTTCACCTTTTCCGACAAGTCTAGAACAATATTATCGGTATCGACAATCGATTACGATAATTAATTGTACACAACGTATATAAACAGAATAAAAATATAGTCCGTTTGTTGTTTAAAGCCAACGGCACACGACACCATTTTGCCTACTGGATTGCTTGCGAGAGCCAATCAGCCGATCTAAAACTGCACCCTTGGCTCTCGCAAGAAATCCAGTAGGCAAAATAGTATCGTGTACCGCTGGCTCTATTAGAACCGATCATTCATTTCATAATGATACAACGCAAGAATTGGTCATGGTTAAAAAATCAATACACATAAACGGTATCGTTATATATGTTTTATTTGTTCTAATTCACTTATTATAGTCGCTAGGTACTGTTCAACCCTCGTTAATTGGGTCGTGACATCTTCATTATCCCACTCTTGTGCCTGTATCCTTTTCACGACTCCTTGAAGCGACAATTTTGCGCTTCCCAACATCCTCCTTTTCTTGACGCTCGAGCTGTCAGTGGTGCAACATAAGTATGTTTGCGCCAAGCTACAACATAATTCCAACACGTTTCGCGCTGTATCTTTGTCGCGCCACCAGTCCGAGTTTGAAGTCATAAAGCGATGCGCTTGTTGTAAACATTGAGCCGCTTTCTCGTTGTCAACGTCCGTTTGCCTTAATAGAAGAAGCTCAGCGTACATCCTCCAGAGATCTGCATTATTAACTACGTTCGAGGTGATTCTTCCAAATAATTCCAAAGTATTTTTAAGCAAACGAGATGCTGGATTCCCGTCCGAGTCGTTAATATTATTTATTATGGCATTTGTTAATATTTTAAGAACCGGAACATCCGAATGGGTGTTTTTCAGGTCCAAGATACGATGATAGCATCGAATAACCTGCGAACAAATCAAAATTGTTTGAAGATATAAATATTTAATATAAAGATTTAGATCTAATATACAAACAACGTAACTGATTCTACAAATGTTTTAAACATGTTAACAGTCTTAAAACTAGTTTAACAAAAAACTTGGTGAACAAAATCATCACATGTGGACACTTACTTCTGAAAAATGCCCCAAATCGATGCTCACTATCATTAAATTATCCCACACCTCCCAACGATTGTAATTACATTTTATAGCATCCTGTAGACACTTCCACGCTCTTGGTTTGTCTCCCAATTTTATGTACGCTTTGGCTAGATTGTTCCACGCTTCGAAACACTGATATTCCTATATTAAGAATAATAATTTTATTAGATAGTCAACCGTAAAAATATCGACACCAGAAAGATATGCGTACAGTTTCTTCCAAGTCACAGTAACGTCTATATGCCGTAGCGGCTAACTTCCAATCTTCTACTTGCAACGCTGCATAGCCCAGTCTAAACCATACGGTTGTTTGAATATTATTCAGTTCGACTGACAGCTTCAAATGTGGTATAGCCTCAGCGTACTAAAAAATAGACATTTAAGATTCAAACACACGTTTTACAATAATTGACAATCAACAGAAGTACTAACATCTTTCTTGTTGAAGTAATAGTGTCCCCAATGCCTTTGCACTCTACTGCTTCTCTCCCCGGATAATCTCCATGCGGTTTCATAATGACTCACATTTCCAGTTGTATCCCCTAACAGGCACCACAAATTCACCGTTGGCTTCTTCGATATTTCTTGCTCAATAATTTCAGCCGCCTGAAAACGTGCGCAAGTTATTTATTACGCAATCGTTAGGTCGTATCACACTCGATATGAAATGTGCATTACCTTGTGCTTCAAATTTAACTCGCTGTAACAGTAGATCACTTGCTCCCATACTTTTAGCTTTGTGAAAACTTCCAGCGCTTGGTGAAGCAAGCCAAGACTGACCATTAATTCAGCCCATTTCTCTTCCAATATCCAAACAGGTTTCATACCGCTCGCGAAAAACAGATCCATTCTCCTGGCTACCGGTGCTTTCGCGTCGTTGTGATCTTTCAGTAGAAACTCCAATTGCAGCATGGATCGTTCGACAGTTTTCTTATGAGTCGACTCCAGAAAGCAACGATAGCATAAAGAATTCATCTTTAACGTCCAGTTTCTTGTACTGTCTATAACTTTCTATAAGAAATACTTATTAACAATATTTTCCAAATAACAAAAAAAAACACAAAAATGCAATGATAACATTGTGGCTTACAGTCAGATAGGGTTTGATTTCCTCGTCAGTAAGATGGTCTTTGGGTCGACTCCGCAGCAACTGAAAACTATTAAAACCCCTCTACACTACAATGCTATAATTCAAATACATAATAACAGGTACGAATGAGGTGGCGAGCGTGGCGCAGAGAAATGTGCGCGGCTTAGTAAGTAAATAATAGAAAAGATCCGAGTTCAAATCCAGCCATGGACACTGCTGGTTTTCTTCGGGTGCTACTTCTCAGAGGGAAATGACAACCACCGAGAGAGTATCTTGCCACATATCCCCTTTAAGGGTACAATCCTCCAGGTTGGAGGTGTTATACTTACTATCTCGCCAAAATTACCGCTTCTTCCATCATGCCCAGTTCAACCACTTCCTTACGTTCCGAAAACTCGATGTCCTCCAATCTCACTTCGTCGTTCAACTTCAAAGCTTTCGGCAAGTCCTTGCAAGCTATTGAAGGAAAAGTATCATTGCTCTCCACCTCAATCTTGAGGTACAACTGCGCCTTTTCTTCCTGTTGATACTTGGTGCGCTTTCCCATCGCACCTTCCAGATGTAGTTTTATGCCTACTGCTGTCTGCGCACTCTCGAGATACTCCTCAGAGTTCTGTATTCTCGTATAATATTGGTAAAATGTAACGACCTCCAGTGTGAACAAAAGCCGGCAAAGAGGATCATTCGCGACAATATGTAGACGATGAATTTTTGTTACTAGATTCTCCAGCTCTTCGAACAGCACCCCCGAGTCTTCCTCTAGCACACGCTGATGCAAGAAAGTGGCTCTGAACAGCCACCAGACGCAGCTTGGATATTTCAGCTGCAGATCCGTGTTAGAGAATATCTTCTGAGCGAGGTAAAGGAGCTCCGGCTTCCGTATATTTATATTACATTCGTCGTGCAGAGACAAGTGCTTGAGTGCCTCGTCTCTTTTGGCTCTTAACCAGTCGACATCCTTGTCAGTGGGCGGGCCCGTCCAGTTGCATTGGACAAAGTGCAACAACGCAGCTACTCCTGCACAGAGCCACGACAAAGGCGCGGGGGTTCTAGATAATTCGATACGTACGATCTGTTCTAAGCTATCGCCAGTCCCTGCGTCAACGAGCGCAGGTAGCTCTTCGCTTATCGCATTCTCATACTGGCCATTTAATACGTCGCGTACATTGTGTGGCACATTCGAATCTGAAATTAAAGATAGAACATATAATTTACTAGTAGTCTTCTATCGCGAGATAGGCTCTTAATATGAGACAGTAGGTTTTCAACGTCCAAATTCAATCGCAAATCTTGCTTCGCAACGATCACGCGATCTAACAATCAATTTTCCGCTAAACGGACCTCACTCCATGGGCAATAAATTCATGGCGGAACCAACAGACGACGCCTATTAATTTAGCAGAAACCTCTATTTCATATTAGAAGCCTATCCCACAACAGGGGACTTTCCTCTAAATGTATACAGTCAAATTTTATTATTTTACTACACGCATATGCAATCGGCACACCTTCATTTCTGGAGAAATTGAGTAGAAGTTCAATCTCGATGTCTCGGTCTGTCTCGCTTGCACGTGAAGCCATCGTATTGCAATACAATTGTAAACACGCGGAAAATTATTGTATTTATACTGCGTTGGAATGTCAATTTCGCGCGAGAGTAAACGACGCCCGCGACCACACGTGGCTGCGAAGTTGAGGTTAAACTAGGTTCGGCCGGGTCCAGGGGAGCGATCACGTGCACCGATCGAATTCGAATTCGAGAAGGAATATGCCATCCGATACCACTCTTCGTACATGAACAATCTATGGTCTGGGAGAAACTATCCTATAATAAATAAGCATGAACCATGAAACCTGTTGAGTAGAAACGTATGAGAAGTCGACCGATCGAATTCGATCGTGTACATACATACATACGTGATCGCTCCCCTGGTCTGGTCACAGACTTCTATATAAAGCCCATCACACAATGCCAGGCAACAGGCAACAGGAACAGGGAATAGAATTTCTGATGGGCTCATTCAGACTGGACGCGATGAGCGACGAGCGACGCGCGATTATCCAATGAGCGTACAGGTTTTATGGGAAAGCGTACAGTTTTCCTATAAAGACTGCACGCCCATTGGATATCGCGCGTCGCCCATCGCTCATCGCGTTCAGTCTGAATGAGCCATGACGCGTTGGATTCGTCGGAAATTTTCTACCAACCAATCCAACGCGTCAGAAATTCTATTCCCTGTTCCTATTGCCTGTGCTTTCCTATTGTGTGATAGGCTTCAAAGTTGCTTCCACGCATTATGTATTACATAGCGGTCATGTGACGTGATCACGTGATGATTCCGGTAATATAGCCGATGCATTACCACATGTGATACCGAGTGATACGTGTCTCGATACACACGATAGGACCGACTTGATGGTACGCGTAATAATGCGTTTTCCCCTCTCTCGAAAAAAAAGCATGTATGTATGTACAGCACGTGGAGTCACACTGTGTTACTACCGCAAGAAGTAAACTCTGCGCGTTGCGCCGTGCGCGCTGGCAGTCAAAAATGTGTCGTAACTATTTCTTTTTATAATTTAAAAACTATGGTTGGGAGAAAATTTAGGTAAAGGAAAAAGTCTCGATTTTCGCGATTTGAATTTGGAAAGTCTCGGAAATCCAATTCTTGGAATTTTAGATAGTGCCACCTCTTTGCTGATCATGTTCTCCTGATACTTTGCCAGTTTT